ATCTACTTAGTTTTGATAATTATATTTATGTTCAAGCCCGGTTCTTTCGTGGTAAGGATGAGTTATTAGTGGTATCAAATAACACGTTTTTTTAGTGTGGGAAGGAAGATTGTTTTTTCCTCAAAACATTTTTTTGTTCCTGTTAGTCGTGGTGACTCACATGTTATTGATTACTTAAGCGACCCATCCTGCAGGTCGGCTGTCAGTCAGTGCGACCGAGCCCTTGGACTTCCCGCCACAGTTGAGGCTAATAAAAAATAATCATGAAGAATGATAGTCGTGTGTCGACGAGACATTAGCCGAAAAGCAAAATCGATTTTTTTTACAAAAAAGGAATTACGAGGCCCGAGTTACTCAATCGGCTTGAGTAACGTCATCGTCATGTTTTTGAACTAATAGCACTATTAATCACAGCCTGGAATCTAGTCATATGAACAGATATATTTGTACAAAACGGAACTAGTTCGAGCCTTGAAGAACATTTTGTGCTATCGGATTATCGTGCATACAATTCATGTTTAATACAGGTATTGATGATATAATATACATGTGTCTAAACATCAATTGTTTTGTTGGTGTGTTGTATAATGTAAATTATGAGACAACAAAGAGAATTAGTTTATTAAGTTTTCTATATAATTAATGTTTTAAAATCGTGTAGTGGTAAAGTTATAATTTGTTTATCTGAACAATATTGATTAGATATGGTACAGTATAATCTAGATTGATTTGGAATGATTCCAAATGACCATGACAGTGCATATACAGGTCTAACTGGGCTTTGATTTAATGTTTGGTTTTTTTTTGTTACCCAACTTATTGTGAGACAACAACATGGGAATTGTTTATTAAGTTTTCAATATATTTTTTTAAAATCGTGTTATGGTAAAGTTGTCATATGTTTAATATTGATTAGATTAGGTACAGTATAGTATCTCGATTGATTTGGAAGGATTCCAAATGACCATGATAGCGCATATACAGGTCTAACTGGGCTTTAATTAATTTGATATGATTTTTTTTATTAGTTGAAACGGATGTTAAACTTAAGGTACTTGATATTGATTATTATTTCGAATGTCAGATTCAAATGATAAATTACATAATATAAAGAGGGTACTGTGTTACAATAATGTTTAAGAATTAAATATATATTTAATAATATAGAATAGATGAAGTGGTTTTGTTTGCGAGAGAGAGAGAGAGAGAGAGAGAGAGAGAGAGGGGTCGAAGGAATTGATTTAATTACAGGTATTAGATATATAGAAGGGAGAAATATAAACGTAAATCATGGACTTTATAATACATATATAAGGTCCAGATCAGATATCCTCGGTAAACGCTTTGTTGAAAAAGAAGAATTTTTAAAATTAAATATTATATGCTAACGTCACCTGTGATTCATGAGGTTATAAGGAAATGAGCGAAACATTAGTAACGAGATTAGCGCAAAAACCGCATTTGTGTATATGTTTCCTGGTGAGCATCTGCTTTTTAGTTTCCATTTAGGGTAAGGGAAGTAGGAAATTTGATACTCTATGGACATGACAGTACCAAATTTGGATGGGTGTGGGGAATAAACGTTACCAGGTTGAGTTTTAAAGAACCGCCTCCCATCGTCTCATACTTTCTGATTAATTATTGATTTAAAAGACAATAACGGGAGTATTCTCGTCGTATAAGATTAAAGGGTGAAGTGACGTCATTGTGACAGATTATGACTTCTCAATTAGTTTTCACGGATGAAAGGCGTCATCGACCAGGCGTTTTAAAGGCAATGAAACGTCACTTATAAAGAAAATCTATTGATTTGCGTAATCTCGATCATCAGGAGTCAATGACCTAAATTTTGCCCCTAATATTCCTCACTGTTATTCTTTTAAAAAAAAACTTAATGTTCCCGCAAACATTTCTTTATAACAAATTATTCACAGGACACGTGTCAGAAAAGCGTGCTATAAACACTGAATAAGTTAAATTGAATACACAGCAAAAATAAGAAATGGCCACCTGGGCTGTCATAATTGTTAGATCATAAAAAATGATAAAGGGAAGAAATGAATGGTGTGTTACAGTAGCAACACATAAAGAATGAATAAACAATGAGCGGAACTACTGAATGTGTGAATAAATGAACAATACTAGGATTATTCTACAGAAATATTAATATATTTTAATAATTATTTGGGGACAATAATAGAAAGAACCGCAATTCTTTTAAAATTGATGAACCTTTTTCTCTTTGAATAATTAGACAATTAATTTGATTATCAGATAAATTAGAAAAGAAAACATTGAATGAACAAATGGCTTTTCGAACAATTAATGATTAAAACAATACAAATATGCTTTGTGAAAGAATAAAAATTTCTAGAAAAAATTACATTATCAAAAGTTAAAAAGTTTGTGCAGCATAAAAGATTGTCGGGTGAGTCATTTAGTTAATCAAGACTTATAAGTTAACGACATTGCACACGTTGACGTCATATTCTGAGCAGAATGATTAATTGTGTTATATGATAGTTTATGTGATAATCATTCAACTATCACATTTTTATCATAAAATATGCAGGACACATATAATGCGATAATGGCTATTACAGTTTTCTATAAAAACACCAAAAAATGGATAAATAAAATAAGAGTATTCCCGACAAAAGAATTTTAAAAACAAAATCAACAACATGTTTTTTGGGGTTTTTTTTAAATGAGGCGAGTCTTTAACTCAGTATCCTCAACAGCCTTCGACATTGCACACGACTTATTGGTCAGTTGAAATGAACATTCACGTTGTTATCTTACCGTGAAAAGGTAGTCTTCTGATATCCAATATTTAAGACAAAATGAAAATTTTAAAATTGGCAGAATGCTTTCGAATGCCATTTGTAATGATGCGACTCGACGAACGAGGCTAAGCATATCCCAAGTGGGAGAATACTATCTGTGTAGACAGGAATAACCAGACACCAAAGACTGTCATTCAATTTGGACTCTTCGCACCTTTCACAAAACATAACTGATTAGAAATTACAGTAAAAACAGAAACGATTGAATGTAAATCAGTTTCTATACATTCATATTACATTATATGCGTTGCGACCCAGTTATGTCCATTTCCAGATGCCAAAGAATATGGATTTAGCTCCTTTAAATATGCAAACAAACACCCGCGCAAAATTGGAGATGATTTAGTTTTCAACTCTCATTTACGCCTCTTGACGGCGTTGTATATACCAGTACATATTTTTTTTTATTTAAATTGATTAATAATAAATATATCTTTGTAATACTATAGACAGAAAGTTTGGTACGATTTATATGTAATACTGGTTTATCAATGAAGCACCATTGTATTCAGAACGTTTTACTTTGTGGTTCTGGAAATGAAGACAAATAAAAAAAAATTAAAACCGGAAATCCCAAAAAAAATCAAGAGGAAAGAAATTGAGTATAAATGAACTCTGGATATAGATAACATCTGATAAGTTTAGATATATGTTGCTCTAATTATTAAAACAATTTTTGGGATGGTCTTCTTCAACAACATTCTTTTACAGTGGGCTTATTCGGTCTTATTATTGTAGTGAGAGGCGCTCATCACACACGGTTCAAGGCGTGCTTTGTATTTCCTTTAAGTGTTCTTTTTTCATTAATAAGTATTAAGCTTTCAAGAAACACATATTTTTGTCTTTTTAAAAAAGAATGGTGTATGAGTACTGTTGTTTCGGAAGTTTATGTGGCAGATTTGAACTCTGGCACAGTGAATTATCCAGTAACCTGGCTTGTAGATTAAAAGCGATAAACTGTGATTGCGTTTTTCCTTCTTCCGTCAGATTCTGGAAAAAATATCGGAAATTTCAATTTAAGTTTGCTCGGATAAAATATAAAAATAGGTGTAAGCCTACAAATGGAACTTATCCTTTTATTTTCAAGAAGACAATTTAAGGTCGATTTTTAAGTCGGTTCGCTCCTCTTTTTTGCAGTATTAGATTACCATCTACTGTAGTTCGTATAACAAGCCTTTAAATATTGAGCTGTACAAAAATCATTGATACTATTATAACATTTAAAAGAAGAAATCAAACAAAATTGTAAGCACTATTGGAAAGTGCCAACAATATTATTTGCCAGGAACCTGCTTCTAATAGACGAATACGTCACGGAAAAAAACACGAATTGCAGACGACATTAAATAAAGCGGTTTATTTTTTGTTGCAGACAGAAATTGGATAGATGGGATTATTGTTCAGTGTAATTCTGTGTATAGTGAGAACAGACGATCATGTGTTGTGATATAGAATTCAAACTAAGGCACTATAAAATGGATTATTACCATACCTGATGGAATAAACGGATTACTGGATAAATAACTCGGCAGTGCTTCACTTGGACGCGATCAGTAAGTAAAGGTTATTTTTCTGATGAATCACCGTGGCCAATAGTAGCCCAGGTCTTACAGTGTATATCTATGTTTATATAATTTATTGATTACCAGAATGACTATCTAGACGATAACTAGACACGACTGCCCTGCAGGCACTTAAAATACGAAACATGATTTTTACATCGGAGCCTCTGCATGGATGCTTCTGTTGGACATTGTTGTGCCTTAGACAGGTCTCAAAATATCTATTGGCTTACTTCATTCGGTCTATATAGTTCTTTAATTACCCAGTTTAATGGAAGGTATGTGTGAAATATTTCTACACATACGTGGTATTTCCGATCGCTATCACGAAGTCATGCAAGAATGTGGGACTATAGGTGTCATGGTGATTTAATAATAATTACTAGAATCTTTATCATTGTCCTGGATTGTTCTGAAGAATTTTAAAATATTCATTAACATTTTATTCATCTTTGATCTAAAGTCTAATCAATGGTCGGGTATCGATCTCGAGCTCCAATTTCTTTCGTCTTCGTCTAGAGCCAAGAGAGTTACGTCCCATTTTCTTTCGACTAATTTATCTTCGCTGAAAAAGTATTGGTAGTCACGCGGTTGGTATTTTGCATAAATTATCTATTGTACGAAGTTAAAACGATTAAATAACCAATAACAGCAGTAGAAATTTCTTATTTGGTGGTTAGATATGGAAAACAACTTAATATTATTGCCCAGTTTCAGCAGATATATATTTACTTCTATATCCGTGCACATTACGTCATTCGGCTATGAATATTGAACTTTGCTTGCAGAGTACTGCTAAAGAGGAAATTGTGCGCACGAGATCAATAGGATATTTGGAAATTTGTAAACATGAAGAAGCTTGTATGATAGTTTAGAATTGTTTACTAGTGATTTTTATGACGTGTCTAAAGCTTACATCACGTGATGTGACCCATGTTTTGGTTTGGAGAGTACAAGAAGTGAGGCTAACAGAGAGGATTTTTTCTGCCCATGTTGCCGCCCCGCTAGTTGCTTGGTTCGGGTTTACAGTGTATGATAATGGCAGCTGGAAGTAAGCGCTCGGAATATATTTGTTCTGAAAAATTTTTCAGGGATATTTCTGAGCTGCAGGACCCGAGCTTGCGGAGGGCAACATTTGCTTCGCTGGAATCTGGCCAACTGACCCCACTGTTAAAGGAAGAATTAAAATGTCGCATACAATCGCGTCGATTGTCGGAAGGCAAGGAGGAACTGCACGTCGATTTTACATCTCCGTCCAAATTTCAGGTATCTTAAAGGGAATTTAACATCATATTGCCTCTTGCATCCTTTGAATATATATTTGTATTTATTTGAATGTATGTTTATTCAAGACGTGGTCTGCTTGAAGATGACTGTATAGTAATAGTAACATTCGAGGCATGCAAACACATCCCAAATTACTTTCTGATTAGCATAAACTATTGATACATATTATTAATGACTTTATTTTTGAATTCTATACATTTGTTATGAATTTTCTTTTCAATTTTAGCTTATTTTTGTAAAACAAACTTGCAACACCCATAGTTTTATGCTTAGATTTTATTCATGCTTAGCTTTAAAATTTTAATTTTTTTTTGAATTTTAAATTCATTTTTTCTGATTTCATTAAAGTTTTTGAGTAAATTTTAGAAATTTGTTTGTATTTTTCAATAATGCAATGGTACAACAGATATTTATTAAAATGCACTACATAACAGTTCAGCTTTTGTGATTTCGGTTGGTTTGTTTGCAACCAACAATGGTCATACATGCCATTTTTGTTATTACTTTATTTCTGGAATGTGTCAAAATTTAATAACAATTAACCTTTTATTATTATTTTTTAATTACGCTGATGATTGTGATTGTATTGCCATTAAATTGTAAGGAAACTACTTTTTATTATAATCGTACCGATTATAATTATTAATATCTATATAAAAATAAGTTCTTAAACTGGACTTACATTAATCGATTATGGGGAAAAAAATCAAAAGAATTTTCTTGACATTTGACAATTATTTGTTTCTTTTTTTTTCTAATTTATAAATAGAGGTCACAATGAAAAAAGGGCTTGTACTTTACTGCAGTGTCCGTGGATCTTTTGTGTTTGACGTGTCAATTGTCTAGACAATCATTTCAAAAGATTTTAGTATTATAGAATGATCTTATTATTGTGAGTAATAATTAAATACTGATATTTGTTTTGTGTTTGGTTTATGTTCCGTAGTTCCAGGTAGTTAATTAGAGGTGATTTATTATACACTATTAATTCTGAAATTATAATTATTATTTTTCATCGAAGCGTAAATTATTATGTATTTTATTTACTTAAAATAAAACAAGTTAATCATTTTTTGGATAGACAAGGAGTGATTTGGTAATATCATCTTCGGTTCTTTTGTATTCTACCAAATGGGTCAAAGATATAAGATATAGGTCTTCAACTTCAAGAAAGAAAAAAATACTTTGAAGAAATATTTGATCCATTTCAGATCATACGCATACTTGAGCGGGAAAGGGGTGGGGTGGGGCCCATTGAAATTCAATGTTTTCCATTTTGATGACTTTTGATGCATATTGAAATATTTTTTTTTGTTCTTAGTAGTATAATCATTATGGATTCACAAACTTAACTTTAAATTTTTATTTTAAATTTACTTTGAAGGAGTTTACATACCTGGTTTGTTGTTGTTTTTTTTCTATTGAAGAAGTATTTTTACTATGTTATTTAAAAAATACCGGAAGCGGTATATTGTTCAAGGAAGGAGTGAGTCAGTGATGTCATCTTGTCCCCACAGTCCGTATAGACGCAACAAATAGGTCTTCAATGTTAAGAAAGAAAGAAATACTTATGAGATATATTTGGAAAAAAGAAGAAATATTTGAAGTAGGATTACGGGGAGGGATGGGGGTAAAGTTGTCCATTGAAGTTCAATATTTTTTCCACATTGCTGACTTCTGATCATATTGAGATATTTTCATTGTTCATAAGTATAGTTATGGATACGCTGACTAACTTTAACTTTTTCTTTTAAATTTACACCGAAGGAGTTCACATACCTAAAATATATTTGTTGTTTTTTTCCCTACTAATTCTTACAGTTTTATAAAGGAATATTGGAAGAGGTAGATTGTTCTGGGAAGCTTATTGTGCCATGATGGATTCGTGAACTTAACTTCAACTTTTTCTTTCAAATTTATTTTGAATGAGTTTACGTAGCTTGTTTGTCGTTTTTCTATTGAAGAAGTATTTTTTACTTTGTTGTAAAAAAAAATATTCGAAGACGTATATTGTTCAGGGAAGCTCATTGTACCATGGTCATATTGATATAAATGAACGGCTAGCATGGTATTTCAGGAATCGTTTTGAAATTTGGCAGTTGGTTTACATTTCGACAGTTCAATATTATTGGATATATGAAAATGATTTGACTAAATTAGCAATTATTTACTAATAATGAAAATTAGACGTAACAAAAATAAAAGTGTAGATTATCTTTAGGTACGCTAATTAATAAATTATGCAAATTAATATGTGGATGTCTAGGCGTGATTGTAATATAGAAGTCAGGTGATTAGAGCAATAATCTATCTAATGAAATACTACAAAAGAGTACAATTTCAGATAAGTACATTTGTATCAACTTAGTGAAAGTTTCTGATTAAATGTTTGAAAATTGATGAAATCGAACAGTTCTTGGAAATTTAAAACTTGTTTGAAATTACACATACCAGAAATTCTCCCATTACTTACACCTGTTCTAGTTAATAATAAATATTTTGCTTATAAATTAACCACGACTTAATTACGGCACCTTTTTTTTTCAAATAAATTTATTGGCTAAATGATACATCAAATCAATTTACAAGAATACATGCGCAGTCATATGAATACTATAATGCAAACAATTAACAGACTTAAATGATATAATATACACTGTACCGAGGTTGATCAAGGACTGAAAAAGTTTAACATTATATGAAACAAACACTTACAGTTTATACATTAATTTATATTAGAAAGTGGAAGTTTGAATTTTAATTAATAGCGATGAATCTAATAAATATAGAAATGTTTTAGAAATATAAACATTTATTTATTTTTATTTATTAAAAAAAAAATAAACGCTGAATTTCCAACGTTTCGGTCTTTATTCACAGATCCTCATCAACAATCTTTACATCTTAGCTATGGTAACAAAGTTATCTGAATAAATGTTTTTACAAATTTTATTTAAAAACACTCGATTTTTTTTCTGTCAAATAGATATTCTCATTAAGTTACGTAAACTATTTTTTCGTATTATATTGAGCGAAAATCATTAAAGGCTCAATACCACTCTTGTTGTAACTGAATAATATGTCCCAATCTTTATTCTGGTCAACAAATTGCACTATTTTACAATATTCCAATTAATTGATGATACAAATTTCATCTTAACACACCTAATTTAAAAAACTGGAAAAATTCAACTAAATGATTTGAAAAATCCGACGTAAAGCTTTTCAAATGTGACTTGGATTTAAAAATATTTTTGAACCCTCTGGACAAGTAAAATAGGATTTAATGGATAATTTACACACCAGGTAGGACACTAACACATCTAGTACTTAGAATAAGGCTATTTTTTATTTTCTGGAGCTGTCAAGCCAGCAAGAGTGTTATTGTCCCTTTAAATATATGTATATGGTGTTGGTTGTATGTTTTGCAATGAATGTTTAATGCTTGTTATGTCCAAATTCTACTATTCATTTGTTTTTAAATTTTATTTATTATATTTTTAAATAGATATTAAAACTAGAAATTCCCTAATTCCATAAACTTTTTAAATTTTATTTATTATATACTTGAATAGATGTGTACTTAATGTTATATTATAAAATGAAAAGTTGAATAGTGCGACAAGGCAACAAATGTGACCCTTTATTCATATAAAAATACAATAATATATCGATTTAGTTTGTATAAATTTTAAAACGTAGATTTTTGAAAGACGTTGATTATAAAATGACAGAATTAGGTAGTTGGAATTTCTAAACTATTTGTTTTTATTTTATTTTTTCAACTATTTGAATCGTGAAATAATGCAATTCTTTGTCGGACGAAGTGGCTTATTTATTCCATATATTTGGTCAACCATCTCCATTTGTATGATTAAGATTAAATGTGATTTTCCACATTTATATGTTATTTAAAGGACCGCAATCACTTTTGTGTAGGTGAAAAAATTAATCAGTTGGGCTGTCTTGGTGGGTCAGATTCAGATTGAGTAACATTTTGTTTCAAAAAATTGAGTGGACGCCTGGTTGTTTCTTGAGTTCAGTTTCATGTTTGTCTTCCACACCATCGATCATATCTCAACATTGGCTTTATTTTGAAGGAAACCACAAAACAATTGGACATTATTATTTTTGAAACAAATAAAAGAGGTCTTTTCAGTTTAACTTATCATTCGTCGCCTGCCCAACCTCGTGAATTTTCGCCGGATCCTCCGGTTTCCTCCCACTTCTGAAGACCCCTACGCGCAATCGAAGTATTGAAATAAAATTGAGCCGTATGTTAGTCTTAAAATGACCTAGTTTGTCTCAAGTATTTAGAAAGTCACCAAAATAACCCGGATTTCTATTTTTTTAAACTTCCGAAATTGAAGAAAACAGTGATTTTTATCAGCAAAGTAAATAAATTCATCCCGAAAGCAAATATTTTTTACCTATCTAGTACACTCAAGTTGTTCAAATATCCTTTTCTTTGGAGAATTCAAAGGTGCATTGGTGCCCTTTGTCTAGCGAAATTCTATTTGTCGTCATTTGAATATACAGTTACATCGGTCATAATACTCAAACTAGACCCAATGGAAAATTGCGACAAATTAGTTTTGTTGGTATATGCGGGATTTACCTTTAAATTTATACGGGCATAAATTAAAACAAAACCAATATGTAAATGTATTTGTGATTTTTAGAATGTGGAAATCCTTGATTTTATTAAGAATATACATGTATGTGCTTGGTGTTTAGAAAGTCACCAAAATAACCTGGATTTATATTTTTTTAAATTTCCGAAATTGTAGAAAACTGTGATTTCTATCAGCAAAGTAAATAACTTCATCCAGGGAGCCTATATTTTGCCTATCTAGTACAACCGAGTTGTTGAAATATCCTTTTCTTTGGAGAGTTCAAAGCATTGGTGCCCTTTATCGCTTAGTAAAATCCAATTTTCGATTTGACGTCATTTGAATCTACAGTTACATACTCAAACT